TTACGACCACTAGGACTACATTCGACTCAGTACCGCCGAATTCCAGGTGACTTGATTTTGACATATCAAATACTACAGAACCCAAACCATCCAAATCGGCCGCTGTTCGTGTTATCGAACAATGTACAAGTTAGGGGACACCGTTTCAAATTAATGATTCCCAAGTGTCCACTGGAATGCCGGCGCCAATCTTTTGCAAGCAGACTATGCAGTACTTGGAACACCCTTGCATCTCACGTCGCTTGAGCACCAACTATAGAATCTTTCAAGCGGGGACTCGATGAATCCCTGGTATACCTCACATTCCTACACAACTAAGAACAAACACAAATTCCTACTCGGAACTCTATGTGACAATTGATCATTTTTCATTGCAACGATTCAACTGTGTAAATATCCCATGGGGACAAGGAAAGTATGAGCTTGTAAGTAATTCCCATAATAAAAGTTTGACTTTAATTTTGTTATGGACCACTTCACACGCCCATACTCTCTCTGATTGAGACAGGACGGAATTTCTTCTCAGTTGCGGATTTTCATTTTTCCACAAGAATTCGCTCTAATTTGGCTATTTTGTCAAGAGTGGATTGTTGATGTTCCGCGTTCTTCTATCACTAATTTGTTTTTTTGGCTTTAGATGACTCCGTCAATTCAGAGTCCGATTAAAATAACAAATGGGGTAACTTTTCTGGTAATCGATATGTGCAAATGATCAGACCCGGTAATTCAGATTCTGTGATGACGCGTTGTGACAGACAGGATGAATGCGTTGTGTGCATAACAGACAGCAAGAAGGCATTGTGTGTGTACTCTCGTCAACCCGGACTGGTCTGAGCAAATCTATGGTCCCGAAATGAACACTATCGGAGGTTTTTATTGTGCTTCTGTTGACTTAACCACTCTTTCGCTTATTATCATCATCCCCCCGTCTCTCTCTAGCTGTCTTGCCTTCTGATCTAGCATACGCATACACACACACACATGAGGGCGAGTGCATCGATGAATTGGCCACCATTGGACGGGAAACAATCGATTTTACTTTCTACCGGTCTGGCTAGTGGTGGCTACCATGGCAATAATCAAACCCTAACAGTTTTAGTCCCAGTTGCCAAATGACTATTGGCATCACAAAGAATATATGTGGAATCCTGCACCGATCTGGACGGAACCTGTCATCCCGAGAATTTTGCCCGATATACAGATGGGACCGCGTGATAGCATCGAATGAAGAAGGTCAGGAAAATGATCGAACACGGGGGAATGTTTGAACCATGACCGATTCTGTACGGGTATGAGAAAAAAAGTTTTCATAAATCGAGTGCAAATATAGTTGAGCTGTGCAGATGTTACACAGGATGACCGTTAGGCATAGGGCGCACATGAGTTGACAACGTAACGTACATGATCGGAACTCTTTTCCGATACTCGCGGTTGCATGGAGCCCAATTGCTCTTGGGTAGCCCATCATAAAGCTATGTATACAAATGGAAAACAACTGTTACCGATTTTCTACCGGAAGAGAACTGTGAAATTGTTGAGGATCGTGTAGCTTTATTCGCTTCGTATGACATTGATGACAATGATGATGATGATGATGATGATGATGATGATGATGATGATGATGATGATGATGATGATGTTTCGGATGATGATGATGATGATGATGATGATGATGATGATCAAGATGATGATTCGGATGAATCGGATGATGATGATGATGATGATGATGAAGATGAATCGGATGATGATGATGATGATGATGAAAGGACGAATATAATGATGATGATGATGATGATGATGATGATGATGATGATGATGATGACGATGATGATGATGCTGCTGATGATGATGATGACGATGATGATGATCACAGATCGCCCGATGGGACCACCTTGACCGGGGTGGGTACACATGTTATCTACCTGCCCGACTCGATTATCTCTTGGCTTATATGCGCTTATTGAAACAGGACAATGAGATGTACCGGGGGAGCACCGATGTGGAACAAAACCGTGATTTTATTCCATGTTACAGCGGAGTATCATGGTCCACGCGGTTGTCGTCGTCGTCCTTGTTCTCGTCCTCAGTGGGAGGAGGGGGAGCCTAACAGGTGAACCACGCGTATGTCAATTGTACAGTCACAAGATGATAAGACAACAATAGAGTTACATGAGAGTAATAGGGAATTTGAATCAATTTCATAGGAATAATTCGTAATGTGTATAGAACAAATGATGCGTGAACTGAAAAGCTGGGCAACACTTCCTGGACAGCTGTTTTTGAGATGGTTGGGTTTCATCAGGGCAGTGTACAAATCCATCGACCAAACTGGGGATCGCCAACCCGGGACCTCACAAGCAGAACGCAAACATGGTACCCACTCGACCACAATGCTTTTCAGTTCCCGCTTCATTTGCTCTGTACACGACAAATTCTCCTTATGAAACACTAGAGCTATTGATTAATGTAGCTGAGAAACATAATCAATTCACTATTCGAGAAAAAGGGAGACGAATATGTTTAATCGAGCTATTTCAACGACGAACTGAACTGCTTGTGTTATGCGCTGCGCCCCCTGCCCCCGGAACGGTCGCTTTTTGAATACACACCAATCCGACTGTCTTTCTGTTCGTTGGATCCGGCAAAAACTCCATATGGGCTAATAGGAAAATAGCAGTGAAGTTAAAATGGATCGGAAATACAGGAAACACACTGTTTACAAATGAAACAAAAAAAAACGTACCAGCTGAAATGACTGCAATATTTTGAAACTTCTGATCGATAGAAATGAAGGATGGTTCATGTAACCGGACCACCCGAGTCATCTAAAATGACAGTTTTGGTAATTAGGATAGTCTGAATATCGTACGGATTAATTGCGTCACAGATTACAGGAACGGAGAGGGAGAAGGAGAACGAACTCAAATCATCATGTGTGCGTTGTCTCTGTTGCACTATCGGTAGTCCATCGACCTAATCATGCAAAATGTGAGTAAGTTCCACAATTAGAAGCACGTCGTAGTCAATTTTTCTATACAACTAGTGAGGCGTAGATCGGTACAAATATGCGAGCCCTCTCTGATCTTCAGTGTTCGTAGTTGTTACATAATTCACATATCAAATCCAATGATTTTTGTTTGATCGTCAAAAGTGCTTCCATTCACATACTTCCCTTCTTTTATCTTATTTGATCGGAGTACATTTGAACAACAAAATATGGCCTATGTTTAACTGGCTATGTGGATAACGGCATCCGTGATAGGCTAGCTTCGAATGTTCGATTTGTAAAGTACCGGTGTAGTGAATTAGACCGTCAGGTTCTTTTTTTCCAAGCACCAATAAACGGTAGTGCAGTTGCAGATATGAATAGTTCAAGTGAATGGAGACCATTTGCTTCTTCCCTCATACACATGTTTACCTTAGTGCACATATGGTTTTTTAGAGAAAAACACATGATGTTTCTCAATCTGTCAAGGCAATTCTCGAATGACAATAGAAACAGTAGAAACATGAGGACAACTCATTTGAATTAGCGATTTCACGTCCGGTTCGTTCTGTTGGTCGAATTTACCCCCAGGTCACTCCCGATAGGTGTGTGGTAAATGGACTGACTAATCAATAAACTCTACTGAAAGCACACCCCGACAAGTGACGCAGAATGTTATCGCCTAATTCGCTACAGGCGGCAGACGAAGACGAAGAAGAAGAAGACAAGTCAAGACAAGTTCGGAGTGTAATCTGTCATCGAATACTGAACGAATTCAATCGGAAGAAAATGAACACGAGGATTAAATTTAGGCAAATTTCTTTCCCGCTCGTCAGCATCTCACTGTATTATTATTATTCTTCACAACCTTTCACAGTTTCCTCCACAGAAATCAATGAACTTTTAATTAAACTGGTCAATGGAGAAAACTTCACAATCTTGTTCGGTTCTGTTTTGTCATGAAAACGACCTATCCCCTTGGAACGCGTAAGCACTGAACACCTGTGTGATTCACAATGCTCATCCTCTACCTGCACAAAGTTGCAGTAGGTTGTGGTCCATAAGACCCTGCAACTGACAGTTTGTTGTTATTTCGAAGCGAATCAAAACACTTTGACAGTTGGATTCTGTAATCTACTTTGATCACAAAGATTCACATGATGACTTGGATGATGATGATGATGATGATGATGATGACTTGGATGATGATGATGATGATGATGATGATGATGATGATGATGATGATGATGATGATGATGA